GTGCGGTGTGCACGAGCTCTCAGCCTGTTCCTGACGCCGGCTCGCTTCCCTCTAGGCCGCCGCCGCTTCCCTTTGTTCTCCCTCAAGATCTCACTCGGCCAGCTCGATCTCACTCGGCCAGCTCGATCTCACTCGGCCAGCTCGATCTCACTCGGCCAGCACAGCAGCCTGGTAAGCATCCAAGACCAATTTTACAAATTTGATAAGCTTCAACTTTATTCTTTTTTGTTTACTCCACTAAGCTATACTGTGCATAAAGACGATAAACAACACTGCCCTCATGTGTTTCAACAAGAAAAAAAAATGTCTTCAACGCTTAGGAAAGAATTGTGAAAACAAGCACATTTTAAATGGTGTGATATGTTAATTTTGAGAGGAAATGATACTGTTAATGAAAGAAAATCAGCAATATGTTGCAATACGTTCACCAAGAGTTCCATTGTGGTCAAAGCCATCACACATAGCTGATATATTTGTCTGCAAATACCCTACCACATGTATTACTAAGAGTTACTAAGAGAATACTAAGTATTACATGTGTTACTTCTACAGGTCTATATTATAGATGACCTTCATATTGACAAAATCATAAACGTAAAGGCCATTTAATTAAAATATACTTAGTGAATTATTAGATTTCACCTCCTTTTGCCTTCAGAACGGCCCTAATTCTTAATCGCACAGATTCATCAAGGTGCAAGAAACATTCCTCAGAGAGTTTGGTCCATGTTGATGTACATCACACAGTTGCTGCAGCTTTATCAGCTGCACATGCTTGATGTGACTCTATGCTTCCACCACGTGCCAAAGGTGTTCTGTTGGGTTGAGATTTGGTGACTGTGGAGGCCATTTGAGTGCAGTGAACTCACTGTCATGTTCGAGAAACCAGAAAACATCCCAAACACCATTGCATCACTAGCAGCCTGAACCAATGATGCAAGGCAGGACAGATCCATGCTTTCATCATGTTTATGTCCAGTTCTGACCCTACCATTGGAATATAAATACGGGAGGCACTTTGTTTAGGGTAAAATCATTTAAAATTGTATTCGTGGAGTAATTCAGCAAAATAGACCAATGCCTGTCGACTCCATGTCTCCATCGGCGTCTGATTAATACAAAGTCAGGGTTAAATACTAGAATGCTTGGACACTGCTAGTATAATGGACAGGTTTATGATGGGGCTCCCACACAAGCGCAAAGCAGGAGAGGAAGCATCGCCAAATATGTTTCCAAATCAACTTCCTTCAAAGCCAAAGACTAGAAAATATGGTGAAGCATATCTTCCCTTTGGCTTCACCTGCCCAAGTACCAAGGTAGGTCTTCCCTGCAGACTTGGTTTTCCGGGAGCACCCGCTGGGCTCTACACATCACAGACAAACAGTATCCCACATTCTTGATTTTTAGTTCACAAACACTTCTTATAATGACTAACTACTCCTGAAATTTTGGAGTAGTTAGTTCTTTCTAGTGGGATATTATTTATATCCCACATTCTAGTGGGATACAAATAATATCAGGCTGATCCTGCTTAATTTGATCTCCTGGTCCAAATCACGGACAAACAGTATCCCACAGCTGTTTATGTTTTTGAACCCATCTTGCACAGAGAGGCATTTTTTGAAAAATGTATTGATAGCAATGTTGAATATTATTACACAGGAAAAAACACAACTAGACATAAAATAATCACACCGTGACGCCTCTGCCTTTTTAAATGGAGTGACAGTAACTGCGTGTGTATATGTAAGCGTGTAAAAACTGCAAATAGTAAGATTAACAGTAACAGTATTTTGTCTCTATCTGCCACTGTAGAAATTAATCTCATGTAAACAATAATGTGGCGCACAGCGTGACGAGGCACATATCTTTGACGTTGCATGACGAACTCCGTATTCCTCGTCCGCATGTAAACGCAAAAGAGGAGCCAATCCTAATGCAGGGCGGTACCTCTGAGTGCTTTTAATGTCGTGGCTGATCGGTGTACTCAGTGTTTAACTCTTTTCTTTTCTTTTTCTGTCAGAGTGCGGCAGGGCTGTGAAAATCAGCAGAATTGGGGGAGGTGAAAATGCATCCCCAGGAAGTTGGCCATGGCAGGCAACTTTATTCATTGATGAAAGTTTGTGTGGAGGATCCCTGATCACTGACTAGTGGGTACTGACAGCTGCTCACTGCATTACACCGTGAGTTAACATTCAAAGTTTACATTTTGATATTAATGATGCTACTGAGATCCATTCCACAGTTGGTAGTAACATATATCTGCATAATGTAAACATGAATGTGTTCTGATCGTAATGTTGTGATCTAGTTGTGACTACACTGAATAGCAGCCAGAGTCAGATGAGAAACACATGAAATGTCTTTCCATCAAATGTGAAGTGACAGGCAGCGGACCATTAGCTTAGCTCATGTTAAAGACTTTAAATAGTGATTCTGCTAAACCCGGCTTTACCCAAATATAGTAAAAAAAAAACAAACCCTAATAGATCTGTAAGAATAATAATTTACACACAAACCAAAGAAGAAAGCCTTTAAATGGATAAATAGGAAACGCTCACTCATGAAATTCTTTTTGGTCGACTACAATGGACATACAGATTTTTAATAAAAATATTCAGTGACACTGTGATCATCATCTCTTACTGGTCTGATTTGTGGTAACAAAGATAATAACATAAAAATGCCTTAAACATAACTTATTTTCCCAAGTTCTGATTGCAACAGCACAATCGTGTATCTAGGTCGCAACTATCTTTCCGGTCCAGACCCGAATCAAGTGGATCGGACATTCTAGTATTTAACCCTGACTTCAATGCTTTAACAAATGAGAATGACATGTGCCTCCTGCAGCTGTCGACTCCTGTGAATTTCACAGACTACATTCAGCCAGTCTGCTTAGCCTCAGCAGGAAGCACTTTCTACAATGGCACCAGCAGCTGGGTCACTGGCTTTGGTGACCTATCAAGTAATTTATAAAATATATATTTTTCTTTTATATTAGTGATACATGTAAAAATGCTCTTTCTTTTAAAATTTCTCAATTAGGTGGTGGTTCCACCCCAAGGTTCAAGGTTGAAGGTTCTTTATTTGTCACATGCATAGTTATACAAGTATAACACACAGTGAAATGTAGCCTGACACGCTCCTCGACATGTGCAAAAAT